GCAGCGGCGGCGGCGGCGCGGAGCAGCATGTACGCCAAGGGGGGCAAAGGGTCGGCTGTGCCCTCAGACAGCCAGGCCCGCGAGAAGTGAGTCGGAGAACCTGCTGCACGGACAGGTTGATCATGGAGTTGTCGCTCCCCTCCGCCTTCATCGAGGCCGGGGGGCGCCCGCCGCCCTCGCCGGCACCTGTCCCCGGGCTCTCCCCGAGGCTCGCGCTCTCGCCATTCGCCTTCTGGTCTGGCCTCAGCTTCTTGCTCCGGTGCGGGCCGGAGAGCGAGGGCTCGCTGACCGTGCGCTTGATTCCCCCGTTCTGCAGGCACCGGGGCAGCCCCCACGCCGCCGGCAGCAAGTCGGGGCTTGCGCGGCGGAGCTGGCTGCCCTTTGCAGGGGGGAGGCCGGGCGCACCCGGGAACGCCGGCCACGGGGTGTCTCCGTTCACGTCTGGCTGAGGGCGCTCCGCGAAGGGGCTTCCGTTCTGGAGCTTGGTGGCCAGGGCTTCGGCCTGGCAGCCCGGGGACGGCGAAGGCGTCAGGAAGGGACTCAGTCTGTGGCCCTCCACATGGCTGGTGCTGTGCTGGTCCATCAGGCTCGCTTCGGGGCCATCCACGGGGCTGCCCTCGCAGTGAACTCTGCAGAGACAGGGAGGACAGGCGTTAGTGCAGCCCAGCACCGCGCCGAGCGCATTCCTGGCGCCCACATGCCGGACCCCAGCTGGCCCAGGGCTGCTCGGACACGCTCCCCGCACTCACTCCCGAGCAGCTCCTGGCGGCTGTGGTCATGGAACAAAGATCGCCAGACCTGCCTCGCTCACAGTGACCCTTCCCACGCCTGTCAGCCCGCGTCCCTGCACGGCCGGCCCCGTGGCGACTCCGCCTGGGCGCGGCGGCCCACGAGCAGCTGGGCCTGCCTTCTCCGCTCCGTCACCCGCTGCAGGGTTTCCCGCAGGTCGCCCTGCCAGGCAGGGTCTGTCTCCAGCCCCTCGGGGGAATGCCCTCGGGCGCCAGGGTGGGGTCGGGGCTCCGTGTGGTACAGGCTGGGCGCGTGCCAGGCCAGGGCCGGCCGGGCCGACAAGGGCAGGTTTTAAGATGCCCCTTCCTGGCGGCTCTAGGGCTTCCTCTGCAGGAGGGGGCTGTTCACAAAACTGACCACTCCGCCTCCTACTCGAGGACTCCAGAGCGGCTCCGGTTCTCTGCTGCAGGCCCTCCCACCCCAGCGCCCCGCAGCCTCAGACGCCAGCGCTGTGGTTCTGTCTGCCCAGATGAGGGCGCTGCTCCCCTGTCACCGGCCACTGCCCCGGGGCGCCTTCTGTGCAGGCTTCCAGGAGTCTTCACCCTCCTCCATGCTGCATCTCTGCTCTAAGAGCTGCTGCTGATCACTTCTCCTTTGTTTATGCTCCTACTGCACGATGACTCCTTGACACTTTCCTCACTTTTCTGCCTCCCACTGACCTAACACCCATAAATTTCATAAATTGCCTCATCTTCACTACCCTTTCTTCATTCACTCCAGCTTGTTTCAGAGCAGTGATTTCACAGGCCAGAAGATACGGAAAGCAGGAGTTGCCACAAAGAATCTAGCCCTACCACCCCCATTTGTGATCCTGCACTCTTCCTTTCCCAGTTTTTCTAATTGCTTTTATTTTAAGGATATATGTAGGGAAAAAAAACCTATTGACTATTTTCCCTTGCAGCTGTAAAAAAAAAAAAAAAAGGAGCCCTAGTATAAAAACAGTCATTGCTTACTAAGCAAAACCAGTGAAACAGCGGAAAAAGTGATCTATTAATGTTGGGAAATCAACCTACGGTGCTATTGGCAGATAATGATATGTATACTGGCCAGCCCAAAGCAGTGACTGAACACCGTGGCACTTGATGGGAATTTGTAGCTGAAGAAAATAATCAGCGGCCCCAGCACGGAAAGGTAACAGTAAGTCAGAAGCACTACCAGAACAGGACACTATGATGAAAAAGTATTTTGACAACACCATGAATCAATTTAAAAAGAAGCGTTAAGTTCACCTATTTCAGTGAAGCAGGGCTGAGGGCTCCAGGAGTAGCGAGCAGGTGGGGCAGAGCGCGTCCGGTCCCAGCTCTGGCAGTCACACCTGCCGTCTGCTGGCTCCAGCACGGTCTGCGGACAGCAGCTGGGGCGATGGTCAGGGTAGCCTAGCCAGCTACGGTGCTCGAGCATACACTGGCAGAATGTTCTGATGAATGAGGAAATCCGACCCTGAATCAGCAGGAATAATCCGAAAGAACTGAAGGGGGGTGGGCAGTTGCCAAACTAAAGCCAAGGTAAAGGCAGCAGAAGCTGCTGTGGGTAGACTGTGCCGGGCACCAGCAGTCAACAGGTGTGACCGCCAGTGCTGCTTGGCCCGGACAGGTGCTGTGACGTAGAGCTGAGCCACAGAGATCCAAGGGTGTGGGAGCAACTGGACAGTCCTCTGGCAAGTGTTAAAGTATGTCTTGTGCTACTCCCCCATCTAAAATTAAAAATGAAATAAATACTTGCCAGTCATTAGTATAACAAAAATCTAGACACTAACAAGTGCAAAAGCCAAGTAACATTTAGGTGAGCACACGAAAAGACCTGTTAGCAAACTTAGACGTCACATAAAACTGCTTACTCAGTAGGGGTCATACAAATTCACAAGGAGAAACCAGCGGAAGAGAAATGAGCAAGAGGCATGGCTACTCCTGGGCGGTGACAGGGAAGACGGCAGTCAGTGTCAACAGATGTCCAGTACCGTTGTAAAATGCAAGCTAAAGCTGCCAGAGACCATTTTCTCTCAAAGATCACAAGTTTCATAATATGCTCTGTGGGGACGAACAGTGTCCCGTGTGGCTGTCAGGAGCCAAAAGCAGTGCCAATGCCCTGGGGTCAGTTGGCGACAACATTTCCCAGGCGCCGCCTGCGGCCACTTAGTGTAAAACCTTAGCCAGCAGATACACCCCAGCCCGTACAGATGCTAAGTTGCAAATGCACAACCTTTTTGCAGCTGCAAACAAGTAGAAATAAACTACGTTATCCCCTGGAACTATTTCCACTCATTAAATGATTCAAAGCAAGATATAATGGCACCTGCAGGAATACCCCAACCTGTTTTTCTACGAAAATAAAGCCAAAACCATCTCTGGGGGAACAGACTGGAAATGACCCCGTCCTTGCAGACAGGCGTGGGAAGCTGCAGAACAGCAGCCCTGCGCCAGGACTGCCAGTCACAGGTCCATTCGGGGACATCGCATCATGGGCACTAATCGATGTAAATGAAATCAATAAAAGTCATAGTTCCGGCAGAACAAAGATTTTCTGGTGAAGGAAGGAACCAGAACTCCGCCTCTAAACTGAATGTATATACAGATAATTGATTTCGTGTCTACCTAAAATGTTTGTGATGGTATAAACCCGTGTGTCTTCAATCAAAAAATCGGATGTTAGTGTGCGCCCCGCCCCCCAAAAAAGAACTCACTCAATTCAAACAGTGTTCATCACATATTGAAATGACGCTTTCTTGGATATATTAAGTAAAAAATATTAAATCAATCTCATCTGTTTCCTTTTACTTGCTTGGATGCGATTACTGTAATTTTTAAAATTCCACGCTTTTTCAATTATATTCCTAGTGGACAGACCTAGACGAATGTATTGAATCATCCATAGCCCTTAATACAAAAACTTTAGTTCTAGAGTCAAGGCAACTGAGCTGAGAAGTCTGGGCGGTAAGGGGCTTCTCGAAAACTAGGGGTACGACCTACCTACTACCACCTTCCAAAAGAGAAGGAACACAGAGACACGCCTAGACAAATCCTTCACCGCCAGTGTCGACTGGCATTCCAAATACTCTAAAAAAAGATTAAAAGCTGTAAAATCAACTCACGAAAAAGCAAACAGAGGCACTTACATGTACACTCCTGTATAGATTTACACGTGACAAATTGGGATTAGCTCTAGCTCAACCTCCATCTATGATTTCTATCGTCCTACTTAATTTTCTAGATGTACAGTATTTTCAGTATTTAATGCATTATTCTCCATTATGACCCAATCCACATCATGTGGACAGTCTTTAGAGTGTCAAGGATAAAATTACAATAGATGGAGTTTGCAAATCTTTTACAAGCATGATAATAGCGTGAAGGTGTCCTAGTGTGAGATTTACCTCAATATGGAGTTTTACACACAATAGCCATTTTTAAAAACCAATTTAAACTTCTCAGAACTATTTTGTCTGTGACAGCAAATTCTTTTACTGAGTACGACCACCGGTTACAAAGTTACATAGTTAACTTCCCCAGGAAAGGGAGGAAAATTATGTGTTATCTTCCGTCTTCAGATGAGAATAGCTTATTAACTGGACATGACTTGTTATTACTTGGTGAATATGATTCAGAACATCTAACATTTCACAAGTGCCACCGTAGGAGGAGACACAAGCACTTCCCTAGACTCCGTCCTGAACGCCACACGCGGGTACGCACACCCCGGAATCTAACACGCCCTGAAGTCTTCTAGCGCGTTCACGCTGACATCAGCAAAGCACCGCTTATTTTTAATTAAAAAAGGAGACCTGCTCTCCTTTTGGTCACTGCAGAAAGACTTCATGCTGTAATTTTCAGGGTGTCATACAAAAAGCCAGTAATACACACATACCACAAAAGCAACTTCCAGTGTCCCCGCCCCCCAGGAGACCTGTGCCTTCGAATCGGCGCAAACAGAACGAACAGGCTACTTTTACACATGGGGGGTGGGGTGGGGGAGCTTTCAAGGTTTACACACCTCAGATGAATATAAACTTCTGCTGTGGAATTATTTTGTGTGGCATTCTTTCTGCTTCTCACAGACGAAATGTACTTTTTCTTCACCCATTTCTGCTCTGGAGACTGATATCAGAAATATTTTGTTGATCAGTGAGCACCTGAAACGTGTCATAATGCAATGTGACTTCAACAAAAACTCTCAAGAAGGGGTTCTGATTTCTTATTATGATTGGCTTTGAAAAGACTGAGACCTAATCTACTTTCATCCCTTCGCAGGGAACCTTTACTGTGACAACGCACGGTACGTATCGGGCACGATTTCTGAGCGCCAGCGAAGAGTCAAACACTTGTTCGCAAAGTAATGCCAGCCCTTGGAGGTCTGGAATAGTAACTTACGCCAAGTCAAACCGCAAACGAGTTTACACCAGGTAAAATGGCATCTAGAAATGAGGACGCAGACTCTTCATTTGAGGAGACGCGACGACTCGGTAGGAGGACACGGGCCAGCCACACCTGCGGCGACCACCTTCTCCGAGCTGTCGGGAGAAGAGCACACACAGGTAGTGGCGTCCGGCAGAGCTGGGGAGAACGGGTCCGGGACCGGCTGGGCTGTCCGCCCGAGCTTCCACTGGCACATTGGCCATGAAGAGGGAGCTTTCGTCACGCCCCTTAAGACGCGGGCTGTGGTGGCGGCTGGCTGCAGGTTCGTAACCTCCAGTTCCCGGAGCCCCAGGAGGTCCCTCCACCCGCCCCAGCCAGCGGCTAGCAGTGGCTCTAAGCAAGCCTCTGTGAGTGCTACCAAGACAGACACAAAGCGCAGCACTTTCTTTTGGC